ACATATAGGTCAAATTAATCACTGCAGTCAAAAAAAGGTAGTCAAACTGAATTTTTAATAAACCAAAATACAGTTTCAAAGTAAATTAATTCAGATACAAAACTTTAAATTCAGTTTCAATTTAGTGAAATTTATTTTCAAACCAATGCATTCAGTTTAAAATTCTGCACATTCAGATTCAGTTCCTGCTGACACAAGGTTTATCCCACAGTTTCTGCTTGGTCCTGCTGAAATCATAAAAACAGATCATGGTGGGTCTGAAGGAGGTCAGATCAGAGGGAGGTGATGATGATGATGATGATTGTACCTGTGGGAGGATGCAGATGGCTCATGCTGATCAGCAGTTCTCCATCTGAGATGTGCTTCAGAGCTGCTTCAGTCCCGGCCGTCACCGTGGAGCTGCTGGAGCTCAGATCCTCCGAGGAGCTGGAGGGGGGTCCAGRTYCAGGTCCAGGTCCAGGTCCAGGTCCAGGTCCAGGTYCAGGTKCAGGTCCAGGTYCAGGTYCAGGTCCAACAGAATGGGGAGGAGCAGGAGGGGAGCAGACAGGAGGCTCCTCTGCTCGTGACATGATGCTGCTGGAGAAGCAGGAGCAGAGAGTGGGTCAGAAGCTCTCCCACGATGCCTGCTGTGTGTCTGTGGACCTACAGCTGCTGTTCGTCTGGGTCCAGATGTTCCTCTGGTCTYTCCTCCTCCAGACGGAGATCAGCATCGCCCCAGGTGAGAGGAGGCGGGGCCTGGGGAGCAGTGGGCGGGATTTCCTYTGAGACATCCTCTGGGGTGGAGGCTGGTGTGGTTACAAGATCTGAGGTCACAGAGAGAGAGATGATCAGAGTCAGACTGATTCAGACCAGAACAACTATTGCTGTCTTTAATCTGACTATAATCTGATTATAATCTGACTATAATCTGATTATAATCTGATTATAATCTGATTATAATCTGATTATAATCTGATTATAATCTGATTACTGTCTTTAACCTGATTATAATCTGATTATAATCTAATTACTGTCTTTAATCTGATTATAATCAGATTATAATCTGATTATAATCTGATTATAATCTGATTATAATCTGATTACTGTCATTATTCAGATTATAATGTGTTTACTGTGATTGGTTCAGGACCTACAGACCTGGAGGAGCTGTGATTGGCTCAGGAGGGTGCGTGCTCAGCGGGGTGGGTGGAGTTGATCCAGGAGGGGTGGGGACAGGTGTGGTCTCCCTGCTGTTCTGGGTCACACTGGGCAGCGGTGTTGGTACAGGTGTGAGGACCACAGGAAGTGGTTTCTGCTGGCAGAGGACTCAATAAGACCCACAGAGGAGCAGGGAGCTAACAGTGTGAGGAGCAGTTCTGTACCTCCTCATCAGCTCCTGGTTCTGGCTCTGGGGCTTCCGGTTCTGGTTCTGGTTCAGCAGCTGAAGTGTTTCTCTGACCCAGAATCTGGACCACAGTCTCAGTCAGAACCTCGTTAACGAGGT